CCAGGCAAAGGAAGCGGTGGGAAGAGACAGCTGGACAGGGCGGGCACCCAGGCAGCAGCGAACAGCAGACAGCATGAGAGGGAAGAGGCAGTGCAGCTCTGGGCACTGGCGGTGTCTTGCACTTGTGAATGCAGGAACCACGGAAAGTCCTCTGTGAGGTCTCAGCCACCCCAGATTACCAGGTCAAAACAAGGAAGAATTTTAGAGATAATCTAATCCAAAGTCCCGCTGGACAGATGGGGGCACTGAGGCCCAGAGTGGGAGGACTCCTCTGGGAGCAGAGCCAGCAATGGCTGCTCCTCCCACCTCTCCTCCCCGAGGTTGCAGCGGCTCCTGTTGCCATGGGGACATCCCAGCTCCAAGGGTGTCAGCAGCTCCCCTCCCCCTCCCTCCTTCCTTAGCAACAGGCCACCTCCTCCAGCTCTCAATCTTGCGTGCCTAGCAACCCCAGCCTGGTCCCTGGTCCGCCCCCCCACACTCCCCAATTCCAGTCTGACCCTAAGTGCAGAGGCAGTGGCTCCAGGCCTGGGGCCCCTCCTCCCCTCTGTTTTCAAGTTCTACACTTCACCTTTTTCCTTATTCAGCACTGACAGTGGACTAGGTTAGGAAAAGGCAGAGGGCACTCCAATGTGTTAGCCGCTGTTTGGTGCTGAGCATCGCTTTACTGTAAGTTCCCTCACCAACCCAAGGAAGTCAGAATCATTATCCTCATTTCACCGATGAGGAAACAAATAAGGATCAGAGAAGTTAAGTGGCTTCACAAAGAACACACAGCAAGAAAGCAGGCTCTGCTGAGAGCTAGCTTCAGGAACTTGAGCCATCGCCAGTCCCTCTCTGGACCTTGGCTTAAGGTGCCTGGAGGTCTGACAACTTCTCACTGATCTGCAGGAAGTCCAGGCACCTTCTACCCACAGCCCTCCCGAGATACCAGCTGTTCAGCTCTAATTAGATAGACTCCACACTTCCCCTGGCACTCGGTGCTTGGAAGCCCTCAGGCCTGGGCCTTGCCACAGGGTGTGTGTGTGGGGGGGTGTTTTCAATCCACCGATGCTGCTCATTCCTTGCTGTTCTACTTTCAACAAGCCTCGGCCTAATCCCTCTCCTTGGTGTTCCTGCTACCCTCCTAACCTTTCCCCTTCACACGCACACACTGCTCATTAGAGGAGGGCACTGAGGCTCCAAGGGATGAACAGAGTTGTCCAAAGTCACGTATCTAGCCCTGGCGCACTTGCTCAGTGGTTACAGCGTCAGCCTGCAGACCCCGAAGGGTCACCGGTTCGATTCCTGGTCAAGGGCACATACTTCGGTTGCAGGCTCGATCCCAGGACCCCGTAGGGGGGGCACATGTGGGAGGCAACCAGTCGATGTCTCTCACATCAATGTTTCTCTCTCCCCCTTCCTCCCTCCCCTTCTCTCTCTCTAAAAACAAGCAAACAAAACAAAACAAAAAAAAATCAATGGAAAAAACAGCCTCGGGTGCAGAATAAAAAAACAAAAAAAGAAGTCACATATTTATAAAGTGACCTGACCATAAATGGAGCCCTTTGCTTCCCTTGCTTTGCCGGGGAGCCCCGCCTCTTCTCCAAACTTCCCCGGCTCCTCAGTGGCGACAGAAGGCGTCTGTGACCCAGCCCTGACCAGCGTTCTGATCTTGAACAGTTGAGCCTTTCCTGCCCAGATCTGTTTTAGCCCAACTGTCACCTTCTGTAAGTCCACCCTCACTTCCTGGGCATGCTGGTTCCAGTGCCAGCAATGCCCTCCATACGCAGAGTCTGCATGTCTGTCCTCCACAGCCCAGCTTAGAAGCCACCTTCTCCCGGAAGCCATCCCTAACCCATAACTGAAGTGAGCTCAAGAATTTACATGCAGGTCCAGCCAGTGTGGCTCAGTGGTTGAGTGTCAACCTATGAACCAGGAGGTCTCGGTTCAATTCCAGGTCAGGGCACACGCCCGGGTTGTGGGCTCCATCCCCAGTGTGGGGTGTGCAGGAGGCAGCCGATCAATGATTCTCTCTCATCATTGATGTTTCTATCTTTCTCTCTCTCCCCTTCTCTCTTCCTCTCTGAAATCAATAAACATATACTTTTAAAAAATTGACATGCATCCCTGACCAGTTTGGCTCAGTGGCTAGAGCGTCGGCCTGTGGACTGAAGAGTCCCAGGTTCGATTCCGGTCAAGGGCATGTACCTTGGTTGCGGGCACATCCCCAGTAGGGGGTGTGCAGGAGGCAGCTGATCGATGTTTCTCTCTCATGGATGTTTCTAACTCTCTATCCCTCTCCCTTCCTCTCTGTAGAAAATCAATAAAATATATTTAAAAAAATTGACATGCAGGTACTGACAGCATCCTCAGACAGCCCACCTAGCCCTGGCTCCCACTGTGTTTGCATCATCATGCCCCACAAATGCTATGTCTCAGGTCCCTTCGACAACCCAGGTTTGACCCTTGCTTCTCCAATTGCTGAGTCCTCAAGGGCCCTGTAGCTTCCTTGACTGTGGGCCCAAATGCAGACGCTGGCTTTGGACCCAGACAGCCCGGGGTGTGAGTCAGAGCGATGCCTTCCAGCCCCATTGCTCTTCCTTCCTGTCTTTCCTTGGGCATCACCGACCCTCTCGGGAACCTCGTCTGTAAACCAGGGATCCTAATCCATGTCTAATAGGGCTGTTGTGAGCATGAAATAAGAACATGTTCAGATTTCTTAGTATGTGAGGAGCAAATGATAACTGCTATTATTCCTAATATTAGGAGGAGGCTGAGGAGGATTACTATGATCTGCAAGGCTTCCCACAGCTCCCGCAGGGATGATGTGGGCCGGGTTCTGGGCTCTGTGCCAGGCAGACCTGGGTTTGAATCCAGGCTCAGCCAAATATTAGTGGCGTGGCTTTGGGCAAACCAGGCTGAGCCACAGTTGCCTCAACTGTAAAACAATGATGATAAGGCCAGCCCAGGTTCCGCCTACAGTGTCACTGGGAGGATCAAACAAAAGAAAGTCGTTGACAACTTCAGTAAGCTGTAAAGGCCCAACTTATATCACCATATGACTTATGATTATGATAATTACTAAATACCCTGAGCTCCAGGTCCCAGGAACTCCCCTGCTGGGACACTGTCAATCTGTCCCTCAACAAGTAAGCAGGCACATCAACAGGAAGCCCAAACTGCCTTTCTCTAAGCCCACAGTGGGACAGTGGGACCCGGCTCCTTTTTGAGACCAGTGCCTTCTTAAATGCTAGGACAGCCTGGCTGGTGTGGCTCAGTGGTTGTGTCGACCTATGAACCAGGAGGTCACGGTTCAATTCCCAGTCAGGGCACATGCCCGGGTTGTGGGCTCAATCCCCAGTGTGGGGCGTGCAGGAGGCAGCCAATCAACGATTCTCTCTCATCATAGATGTTTCTATCTCTCTCTCCCTCTCCCTTCCTGTCTGAAATCAATAAAAATATGTTTAAAAAATAATAATAAATGCTCGGATAGGCCGTGCCCATGCCATATCTTTCGCTGCATGCACTGCAGGGACTGTGTCTTTTTAAAAAATATATATTTTATTGATTTTTTACAGAGAAGAAGGGAGAGGGATAGAGAGTTAGAAACATCGATGAGAGAGAAACATCGATCAGCTGCCTCCTGCACCCCCCCCACTGGGTATGTGCCCGCAACCAAGGTATATGCCCTTGACCAGAATCAAACCTGGGACCCTTGAGTCCGCAGGTCGACGCTCTATCCACTGAGCCAAACCAGTTAGGGCTAAGTGTGTCTTGTCATATTCACTGGGCCTGACTGCGGATATCACATTCCCCTTGATTTCCTGATGGCCCAAGTGTTGTCCCATTCCACAGCCCCGGCCTTAGCCTTGGCCATTAGTGTGCTCCCTCCCTCCCCCTCCCCACCGTTCTGCCTGGGATACTAAGTAACTGTGTCCTTCTGCACCTCTGTCTGTATGCTAGGCTCCTCTGCCCTCTCCCGCATCCACTGCCTGGATGCCAGGCCTGGGCTGCTGCATATGGTTGGGCAAGCTGTGCCCTGCACAAGGGTTCACAGCCAAGAGGGCATAAGTGGGGGCTGAATCCAATCTGTGCTCTGCTCACTGAGCCAGAAACCCTGGTGATGGGCCGAAGTAGCCCCGTGGAAAGGGAACGTTCCTACAACTGATCCACTCAGTGGATTCTACTCTTCCCAAAGGTGCTATATATGCTGGTCACAGCCCTGACTGGGACCTGGCGTGCCCATCCATGCCTCTGTCATCTGGGCCCATCTCATCTCAGAGGCCCACCCCATCACTCCCCACCTGAATGCTAAGACTAATGGGCCCTCCTCTGAAACCCCCATCATTCCCCTTAGCCCCTTCACTTAACACTTGTCTTCATGAAGCTTCTGATGGCTTAAGGCCTGGGAAATGCACAAATAGCCCTTGTCTCTAACCCAGTTTTACTCCCACCTTCTGAAGTGGCAGATTTATCACACCTTGAAAACTTACTGAAGCTTGCAAACCTTTTTAGCAAGCACACACACACACACACACACAATGTGCGCTTGTCACCATAATGTATATTTCTAATATGTCGAATGTGTCACATCAGAAGTCCATCCAAATGCCACTAACTCAGGGCTAGAGTTGTTCAGGGTGGAGCATGAAAGCCAGACCAGGGAAGCCCCACATTTACTGTGCCCTCTTCTCCGGGGAGGAGAAGGTTGAAAAGGTCCCAGGGCCAGAGCTGAACTCTCTGCGGGTCAACTTTCCCATCTGGGCAGCTCCCATGAACCCCTTGGGGGTTCAGCCCAGCCCTGAACCAGCTGGGGTTAGAAAGACTGACGAACAGTTTCAACCCCCTCCCCATACCTGCCAGCCCTCCACCCCACTCCACGGCACCTCTAATACCAACAGGACAAAACCCTTGGAGTTGGCCCCCACTTCTGCCCGTGGATCCTGAAGTAACAAACCAAAGGCCCCCACCCCAGTCCCTGTCCCATCTCCCAATCACTATTAAAGAAAGGAGGTACTGACCTGACTGTTCTGGAATTCTCACCATCCGACCTGAAAGAGAAACAGAGAAAGAAAATGACAGTCAGCATATGCTTTCACCTCTTCTCCCGCTGCCCTATGCAGTGTCCTCGAAGGCTAACATGCATCATGAAAATGAGGAGTAAGGTATTTCAGGGAGAGCAAAGAGCCGGTGCAAAGGGTTTGAGATGGCAAAGGGCCTGGCCAGTTGTTGGGACAGGGAGGAGGACAGTGTGGCTGAGGTGGAGTAAGGGGAAGAGTGGTTGGAGGTGAGGTCAAAGAGATGCCAGGAACCACCCAGCTGGCATGGCTCAGTGGTTTGATTCCTGGTCAGGGCACATGCCCGGGTTGCGGGCTCGATCCCCAGAAGGGGGCATGCAGGAGGCAGCCGATCAATGATTCTCTCTCATCATTGATGTTTCTATCTCTCTCTCCCTCTCCCTTCCTTTCTGATATCAATAAAAACATTAAAGAGAGAGAGAGAGAGATGCCAGGAACCAACCATGTGGGCCTGGTGGGTCACGGTGAGGAGTGAGGCCTTCCTCAGAGTGGCTGAGTGGCAGCCACAGCTGTGGGCAGGGGCAAAGTCCAAGCTTTGAACAACAGACTGAGCCTCAGATATCAGCTCTGCCACGTACCAGCCCTTCCCCTCTCGGAATCTGAGCCTCAGTCTCCCCACTTGTAACATGAGGCCAAGTCTCACAGGGCTGTTGGGATGATTAAGCCCTTTAGAACCCAGCAGACAAATGCCAGGTATTATTAACAACATAGAAAAGGCTTTGCCAATTGCTTGGTCCAACCTGCTTATTTTCCAGATGAAGAGAACAAGGCTGAGAGGGTGAGTCAGCTGCTGAGCTCCTTTCTACTACATTGGTCTGCCTTCTTCATTGTGAGGCCCCCTCAGAGGCAACGGAAGGGCGACAAAAGAGAATGGAGTGGGGACAGCTTTGAGGGAAATGAGGGGATGAGTGAAATCTGAACCACACCCTTCCGCTGCTCCTCCTCGCCTATGTGCAGGGGAAGGGAGTTAGGAAGGAACATAGTGCGTCGATGCGTTGGGGGTGGGGAAGGGCAGGAAGAAGGACCAGGGAACTTGGAAAAAGTGGGACAGTGTGGGAAGTGTTTTCTTCATCCCCTATTGTCTTCTTTCTCCTTCTTTACCTCCTCCCCCAACCATGACATACTGCAGAGGGGACAGAGATGAACACATTGCAGGCTCTGTCCTTAGGTGAGAGAACCGTGATGCAACCTTAAGTGAGGGGAGCGTCAGCTATGCTGAGTATAAAATGAGAGAGAGCCCGGCCAGCGTGGCTCCGTGGTTGAGCGTTGACCTATGAACCAGGAGGTCACGGTTTGATTCCGATCAAGGGCACATGACCGGGTTGTGGGCTGAATCCCCAGTTGGGGGCGTGCAGGAGGCAGTCGATCAGTGATTCTCTCTCCCTTCCTCTCTGAAATCAATAAAAATATATATTAAAAAATAAATAACATGAGAGAGGGACCCGCAGGAAGCAGGTAGACCTCAGAAGATAATATTTGTTGGGAGAGTGAATGGCGTACCACCCAGCGAGGTGAGGTAGGCAAGCATCAGGGTGCCGGAGCTCAGAGAGTGGGTTAGTTCAGTACTTCGTTCTGCTACTTACTAGCCACATAATCCTGGGAAGGCACTCCCTCTGTCCAGCCTCAGCTTTCTCACTTGTGAAATGGGGGTGGGATGATAAGAATCCTGCCCCTTGTGGGTGGAGCTGTGAGGCTAGGCCTAGTGCAGTGCCAGGTACAGGGTGCACGACCATGGGTCAAACCTTTAGCTTTCACAGCCTCCTAAAGGGATGGAGGGCCAGGACCACAGAGCATCTTTTCACACTAAACCTTTTCATCTGATTCTGCAGCAACAAGATTGCTTCTGAGCCCTGGTCCAATGATTTGCATGTATCAGGTGAGCATCACTTCGGTGACTCCCCACCTACCAACAGAATGGAAGCCAAGCCCCTCAGCCTCTGTCCCTAACATTAAACCTCTGCTCCAGGCAGGCCAGTCTCCCCACTATCCCACCCCAACACACACTTATACGCAGTCCACTGTAACTAGGTCCTGACCCGGGAATACAAACCCTCAAGGAGCTCACAGACTGGCCCCCTGCCCCAATCTATTTTTTTAAAAATATATTTTATTGATTTTTTACAGAGAGGAAGGGAGAGAGACAGAGAGCCAGAAACATCGATGAGAGAGAAACATCGATCAGCCGCCTCCTGCACATCCCCTACTGGGGATGTGCCCGCAACCCAGGTACATGCCCCTGACCGGAATTGAACCTGGGACCCCTCAGTCCGCAGGCCGACGCTCTATCCACCGAGCCAAACCGGTTTTGGCACCCAATCTATTTTAGAGCGATGTAGGTACTCATCTCCACTCTTGTGGGAACAATCACTCAGCACCTACTGCATACCAGGCAGGGTGTCTGTCTCTTGTTGTACACTATTTCCTTTGATCCTGCAAAATGGGAGTTACCCATCCAGTTTTAAGATGATGAAACTGAGACTAAGAGAAGTTGAAATGATTCACCCCACGTCGCACAAGTAAGGGGAGCTTGGTGTGAACCCCAAAGCTTGTGCTCTTACCACCAGGCTCCACTGTACCAGTAGCTCAGGGCTGGGCAATTGCTTGCAGTTAAGGTGGCTTTCTTTATCCTGGTTCCCCAATGTCAAGACAGACCCTTCCTCTCCAGGGCCCTTTCTTCTGAGAGATGCTAGTCCTCAACATGGCAGCTAGGGGGAGCAAAAGATCTCCGTTCCAGCAGTGACTCAGAGTGAATTAGCCAGTTCTCCTCACTGTGGACTGATTTTTATTAGTTTGGGGGTATATGGTGTCATATGACCCTCAATGTGGGGTGCTTCCACACCAGGGGAACATTGATGTGAGAGAAACACATCGATTGGTTGCCTCCTGCACGAGCCCAACCAGGGCCCGGGCCTGGGAGAGTCTGCAACCGGCTAGGGCTGGGCTGCCATTCTTTTGAGGGGGGGGAGGGGCGGGAGCAGCACAGACTCATAGAAAGAATACTGGGTTCTATTATGGCTCCTTCCCTAACTGGCAGTCTACGTAGACTTGGACAAGTCACCTGCTCTCTGGACCTTGGTTCCTAGTCCACAAAACAATGGGGCTGTGTTAGTTGAGTTCTGAACAATTTTCAGGACCTAAAACATTCAGTTTCTTCAGAATCCCAAAGTTCTCTCTTTTATCAACCACAGTCAGCTGTGTACATAAAGAAGCAAAGACCCAGGTAGCAGGCCTCCCTTTATCAATCCACATCAGGAGAAATGGATTTCTCCTGCTAGTCCCACAGACTTCTCTAATGAAAGGCCACTTAGGACCCCAGCCTTCTCAAAGGCTCAGCTATGCGAATTCTCATCCTCAGAAGTGATGCTCACTAAACAGTAACATATTGAAGACTATGAGTATAGTGACTGTATTATCTGAACCAAAAACTCAGGCATGTAACCTGACCAAGGATTTTGATATTGCTGCTTCCAGGTACAAGGGACAATCTGGAAGATGGAAGAATAAATGGCAAAATATAGAAAGTTCCTGAACTTTTGGGAACTTATGGGGATGACAAGGGCAGAATGTAGGCCCTCAATATTCATTTTGGGGTTTCTGTCCTCACCTCCTGACTGGATTCCCTGTCTCTGGTTTGTGATCCTCTAAGTAATTTATCAGCAGCACCTGGGGAAACTATAAGGCACTCTGGAATTAGATAAATAAGGTTGTCCTCTGGGAACTAAACTATTTATTAAAAAAACATAAGATGCATCAGAAACAAGATATGCAAAGTTACCTGAAAGAAACAGACTGGCCTGGCCAGTGTGTCTCGGTGGTTGAGCGTCAACCTATGAACCAGGAGGTCACAGTTTCATTCCATCAGGGCACATGCCCGGGTTGTGGGCTTGATCCCCAGTGTGGGGCGTGCAGGAGGCAGCTGATTAATGATTCTCTCACATCATTGATCTCTCTCTCTCTCTCTTCCTCTCTGCAGTCAATAAAAACTTATTTTTTTTAAAAAAAGAAACAGACTGGAGACCGGTCCTCAAGCCAGGATTTGAGTAACGTCTAAAAAAACGTGAAAGGAGATTGGACACCAATGACAGTAGATTTTTTTAAAGGAGACTTGAAAGGCAACTGTGAACAGGGCTCCTCCCAGAAGCATCCCGAGGAGAAAGAAGTGGTAGACTGACCCAGGAATCATGTAGGTCTCTCCAAAAGCTGAGATCCAGTCCTGGGGACAGCCAGGCTCCTCTTCTCCCAAACATCACTTTATCTAACTGCAAGTCTCTTCAATGGACGACTCCCTTCTCTAAAGTGCAAACCAGTTGATAGGGTTCTTCTGCTTCTGTCATTCAGTAATTTTCCCATCAACATTACTGCTCGTCAAGCCCAGGCTCTCCAAAGCTCTAAATCTCACTCTGCCCTTCCATCTGCTTTTAAAAATATGTATTTTTATTGATTTCAGAGAGGAAGGGAGAGGGAGAGAGAGATAGAAACATCAATGATGAGAGAGAATCACTGACCGGCTGCCTCCTACATGCCCCCTACTGGGGATCGCGCCCACAAATTGGGCACGTGCTCTGACAGGGAATCGAACTGTGACCTCCTGGTTCATAGGTCGATGCTCAACCACTGAGTCACACAGACGGCTACTTTTTTTTTTTTTTAAATATATTTTATTGATATTTTACAGAGAGGAAGGGAGAGAGATAGAGAGTTAGAAACATCAATGAGAGAGAAACATCCATCAGCTGCCTCCTGCACATCTCCTACTGGGGATGTGCCTGCAACCCAGGTACATGCCCTTGACCGGAATCGAACCTGGGACCTTTCAGTCCGCAGGCTGACGCTCTATCCACTGAGCCAAACCGGTTTTGGCTACTTTTTTTTTTTTAAAGCGCATTTGGTACTTGCTACTTGGAACACTCTTGGCCCTCTCTATGACTTTGAAAATTATTTTTAATTTTATTAAAATGACGTGAAGTAGCTTG